TCACACCCCAGCCCCTCACTGGGGGATTCTAGGCAGGGGCTCTACCACTGAGTCACACCCCAGCCCCTCACTGGGGGGTTCTAGGCAGGGGCTCCACCACTGAGTCACACCCCAGCCCCTCACTGGGTGATTATAGGCAGGTGCTCTACCACTGAGCCACACCCCAGCCCCTCACTGGGGGATTCTAGGCAGGGGCTCTACCACTGAGCCACACCCCAGCCCCTCACTGGGGGATTCTAGGCAGGGGCTCTACCACTGACCACACCCCAGCCCCTCACTGGGGGCCTCTAGGCAGGGGCTCTAACTCACTATAACTGAGCTCCATCTCCAACCCTCTTTTTTCTACTTTTTAAATTTTGAGACAGTGCCTCCAAGTTGTCCAGGCCGGCCTTTTCCTTGCAATCCTCCTGCCTCAGCTTCTGAAAGGATCACCAGCCTGAAGCACCCGGCCCTACTCACTTTTATAACCCCATTACCCAGCCCTTCACTGGCTCATGTTGTGTTCCACAAATATCTCCTAAGCTCGAGAAACACAAAAACCGCACAGCAGAAAAAAAGGAAGCAACTCCAGGCCTATCCATCTAAGCAAGGTCAAGGGGATGGATGAGCAGACGGACAGACGGAGGAAAGGATGCTAGAGTTGGAGAGGAGGTCCTGGGGCTGCAGCTCCACACTCACCTGTAGACTAGAGAGTCATCCGCAGAGCTGTTGTATTGCACTTGGTACATGCGGATGCCAGGCACTGGCCTCTGAGCCGGCCAGCGGATGAGCACAGAGCTGGACGTGAGTTCAGCAGCCACAAGCCGTCGTTCAGTGGCTGAGTCGTTGGCACCAGGTCTGCCTGGTGTGGCGATATCAGAAGAACCAGGCTCAGTGAGAGGTGGCGGGGCAGCAGGCGGGGGCGCCATCAGTGGCAGAGGTACCACACATACCTCCACCGGGGCAGTGGCTTCCCCGGCAGCATTGGAGGCTATGCACGTGAAGGTACCGCTGTCCCTCAAGGTGGTGATGGTCACATCTAGCGTTCCATCCCCACGGACCCGGGTCCGGCTGGAGTTCCCCAGCAGTCGCCCATCAGGGGCCACCCAATGCACCACGGGCTCAGGGTCACCCACCGCCCGGCAGCGCAGACTGACAGCCTGGCCCTCCACCACCAGGGCCTTGCCTCCTGCCTGCCTCGTGATGAGCGGTGGCTCACATAGAAATTCCTCCTCGGGGATGGACCAGAAGTAGCGGTCAGTGAGATGCTCGGGCGTGGCGCATGTCTCCAAGTCATCCTCTCTGGTCAGGCGCCGCAGCCAGAGCAGTTCACAGTTGCAGTGCAGCGGGTTGCCACCGAAGCTCACGGTCAGTGGGGTGGGTGGCTTGGGCCCACCGCCCTGGGACCTCAGGAAGAGCCCATCGGGGGGCAGTTTGTGCAGACGGTTAGAGGTCATGTCCAAGCGCACGAGTTTGTGCAGCTGCACAAAGGTGCCCTCCGCAATATGATCGATGAGATTGTGGTCCAGCGTGAGGGTGTTCAAGTTCACCATCTGGCCCACCGCCTCCCACGGCAGTGCCTCCAGGTTGTTGTAGGACAGATCCAGGTCCTCCACGGTGGACAGGAAGGCGTCGAAAGCTGCGGACTCCACCTTACGGATCTGATTGTTGCCGAGGATCAAGTGGCGGAGGTTACCCAAGCCCCGGAGCTGGTCCCCGCGCACCTCTGCGAGGCGGTTACTGTCGAGGTGCAGGGCCCGGAGAGCACGGAGGTCAGCAAAGGCACCGGCTGCCACCTGACCAATAGTGTTGCGGGACAGGGTGAGGTGGACCAGGCTGGTCATGTTGGCGAAGTCTCGACGACGCACAGCCGCAATGAAGTTGTCGGTGAGCCGCAGCTCTACCACGCGCCTGTCGATGGCGGGCGGCACAAAGAGCAAGCCGGTCTTGGCACACAGCATGGTCAGTGTAGGTGCCACGTTCTGGCAGATGCAGCGACCGGGGCAGGGCTGGCCGCGAGATGCCCCTGCCCAGAGCAGCAGCAGAAAGGGGAGAGCAGCAGGTGGTGGCGAGAGAAGCCCAGAGGAGAAGGAGCCTGGAGCCATGGTGCAGAGGGGAGGCGGGAGAAGCAGGAGGTGAGACCTGGAGGGGAAAACGATAGTCAGGCAGGATACCTGGACCTGGCTTGGTCACCACCCTTAAAACCCTGGCGTGTGCTGGTGAACATCAAACTGTATCCTTTAACTCCCAGTGAATGAGTTCTGGACAACAGACTTGAAAACGGCTGGTAAAATGGCCAACCTTTTCTTTCTCTTTCTTTTGTTTTCTTTCTTTCTTTCTTTCTTTCTTTCTTTCTTTCTTTCTTTCTTTCTTTCTTTCTTTCTTTCTTTCTTTCTTTCTTTCTTTCTTTCTTTCTT